GAGCGCGCTCATCCCGGAAAAAGAAATGTGAGTGATTTTACGGTGGTCGGTGATGGTGAAATCTAGAGCCCGACTTTCCACTGGTTATTTTAAGTTAAGTAAAATTAAAAATTCAATCCCTCTGCTGCACTAGGCCCATTCCAGGTGCTCCGCAACCATATGTAGCTAGTGGCTGCCATATTGGATAGCACAGACAGACGTTTCAATCACCACAAAGAGTTCCATGGAGTAGTGCCGCTCTAGTATGACTATGGGAGTGAGTGGCTGAGGAGGGGAGCATAAACGGTCTATTTTGGGTAAGAAGGAGATTGGTAGGGTCATCCTGGTCAAGGATAAAATCACCAAGATTGAGATAAGAATCAGGGTGGGGATAGTGAAGAAATTACAGAGAAAGAGTTGAGGTCCTGTGAACTTCTGTTTTCTACTAGTCCCTAGGGTCACCACCTGCCCGTTAGCATGTCCTGCCCCAGCCCCACACACCACCAAGGCCAGCCTCCTGTCCTTCACCTGGGACTGCATTACATTGTTCCCAAGAGAATCGGCCAAATACATATTGCTATTCTCTCTAGGTGCTTGTCAAAGAGGAAACTGAGCCATCCCACAACCTAGCTGACCTTGACTCCAGACTGACAGACTAGAACCTCATAGTCTATCCGTATATGCAGAGCTGTCCAGATCGTCAAAAAAGATGCATCTCACTTGCCTCCAAGAACCCTGGGTGAGAAGAAATAAATGAGGCTAAGGATGAAAACTGGGACTTCGGTCTCTGTCAAGTATCAAGGCAGACTGGGGCTCAGTTTCTGTTTTTACCAGAGTTGGCATATGACCACTGTCAGTCCAAAACAGGGCCCGTGGATATAGAGGTTAAATGTCACTAAAATTCTTTTCTAGGGATGAGAGGAGGCAATGAGGCCCAGTTCCCAAGATTCCCGTTAACTGGGGACACTATGAGACATGCCAGACCAAATCAAAACTTTAGTGAGGACAAAAGACACATTGTCCTTTATTGCTAGTCCTTAGGAGTTGATGATCTCGATGTGGAACTGCAGGTGAGTGGCTGTGACCACACAGTGGCCCCGGAGGAGAGCGCAAGTCTGGCAATTGTGGCATTGCCAGTGGCACTGGATGCTGTAGATGGCGTTGAGCACCTGGCAGTATCGCCAGTAGATGCGCCACATACGGACCAAAGATTGGAGCTTGATCACTGCCCTCTCTCTGGTTGCATAGGCAACCAGAGCTGCCTGCCGCCTCTTCTTCAGCAGCCTCAACAGCGTTGTCCGCCACCAGCACTGAATCATCCAGGTCCTGAGGGCTGCATGCAACAGTGTCCGGCGCACCAGGGTGCCACGCCACCAGGCCTGAATCTTTATGGCTGCTTCTTTTCTTTTTCTATCTTTTTCCTGGCCAGAGATAAGAAAGACCACTCAGGAAACTTCTGCCACCACTTCTGAGGGCTTCCTGCAAGGAACCTGGATAACCTCTCTTTACAGTCAGTTCAGGGGGGTTAGCAGGGCACTGACTAGGAGCCAGCAGACCTGGTGGTGACCCTTCTATGCCACTGTGGACCTCATGCTCAGAGCCACGGTGTCCTCCTGACTACCTTGCCAATGCCTAGATCAAGGGAAAAACCATTAGTAACTACAAGGATGCACCAGGGATGTTAGGGACCTTGTTAGTCACACTTCTTCAGTGCTCACTGGGTTTGGGAGGTTTGGCCTCACAATGTCTTGCCTGATTATTCTCTGCTAATTCCAGTCTTTAATCACCATAGGTTGAATTCTGTCTGCCACAATCATATATTTTGATACTATGGTGGATTTTTAATACCTTAACCATATATGTTACTCCCAGCTTTTCCCTATTTTGTACATTCTACTCTCAAATTCAAAGTTCTCACTTTATCACCTCTCAGCACCATGCATTTCTTGATGCCTTTCATTTTTTTGTCACTCTTTATGTCTGTCAGAGCCAGATCCACATAGCTCAGGCTGAGAAGGGAATGGAGAAAAAATGAGCCAATATTGTGTTGACTCCTGATTAGGCTCTGGATCCGTGAAGAAAATTTTACACCCTTGTGACATAGATATAAACGTTCTGGATTTCTCTTAACTACATAGAATTCTTCTCACCTTTTGTTTCTGCTTCTTCTGCAAGATTCTCCATTCAACTATTTCTTCCTCATTATAGATTTCAATTAGAATGAGATGGCCGTTGGTCTGTCATCAGAATTAAATAAGAAATGCATAAAAGAGTTAAGACTGCTGTTCTCTCTATAGGTCTGTACAAAGGCATTAACTGCCTTAGCATCCCCTCTTTTACCAAGAGCTGTGAAGCTCAGGTGGACACCTACCCACCCTTACCCCACCTAGCAGATTGGGCCATGTCTCTTACACAACATCGAATCCCCATGGCCTGTCTTTAGATGGTTCATTAGCCTTGATTTCTCTGCTTCCCAAGGACTCGCATGAGTGAGGAGAGGTCTATGAATTCACAATTGCATTATGACAGAGATTAGGACGTCTGCCAGAGTTGAGTCTTTGTCAGAAGTAAGCTCTGTGGAAACTTGTACCACCTGTTTTCTTCCCTCCTGTCAGAGACATGCCAGAACTCAGGGTGGAGAGATAGATGTTTGAGTGCCACTTTATACCAGAGCTCTCCATTAGTTCATCCACAGTCCCTTCTCATTGCTTGTTGCTTAGCAGGGCAGGAGGGACCATGGCAGTGTATCCCCACACAGCTCTCCAGTGTCTTCTCAGATTCGGTGCTTCCTATATTTTCTTGACTCAGGCTTCAGGACCTCACTAGACCGTAGGAAACCAGAAAAAGGTACATCAGATGAATCTAGAATGCAGTAAAATAAAGATACACACTTAATGACACAGAAAACAAAAATGGGTACTGGAACAACAATTTAAAAGGTAGTATTTTGACAAACCAGTTTTAAAGATAAAAGACTCCACAGCCCGGGTGATCAAGAAAGAGAATATAGTGGAATGAAAAAGGTGAAACAACCACAGGAAGACAAATAAATACAAGCGAATATTATGGTAACAAATTTGATCCCTAATGATTTTCCCACAAAATGTAAATTGTCTAAATTAACTGAAGAAAATGTGTAAAGCTTGATAAATTGAGGCCATTAAAGACCAACCATAAATAAGGCACCAAGGCCAGATAGATTCACGTCCAAATTTTAAAAAAGTATAAATTCATGTATTTCCAATATGACTTAAAGTAGTTATAGATATTCTAGAAGATAAAAATTCCTATTAAGCATTTCATGGGGCCCATGTTAGTGTCCTAAAATGTCCTGCTGGGATTTTGAATGTAGGTGCATTGATTTTGGGGAAGAATGCTATCTTTATGACCCTCAGTTTTCCCTTCTAAGGACACGGATTATTCCTCCATTTGTTTAGGAATTCCTTTATGTTTTTCTGTAGAGTTTTAGAGTTTTATCTGCACAGACTTTAAAAAAATATATAGTTCACATTCCATAAAACTCACCATTTTAGACTGTACAATGTGGTAATTTTTAGTATATTAACAAAGTTGTGTAACCATTACCACTATTTGATTTCAGAACCTTTCATCACCCCCTCAAAGAAATCCCACAACCATTAGCAGCCAATTCTCAGTCTCCTTTCCCAGTTCCTGACAACCACTAATCTACTTTCTGTCTCTATATATGTGCCCATTTCCATTAATTCATGTGAATAAAATAAAATAAGTGGCCTTTGTGTCTGGCTTCTTTGACTTAGCATGTTTTCTCCTTTTTCTTTTTTTGATTTTTTGAGTTGGAGTCTCACTCTGTCACCCAGACAGGAGAGCAATGGCCGCTCCCAGCCACCGCAGCCTCGACCTGCTGGGCTCCGGCGATTCTTCTGCCTCAGCCA